AGGAGACATATTGACAGATGCAAGAAAATAAAAGGAAACTGATTTCTGTGGGGATCTGGACCAGGTCAATAAAATATCTAACTTGGAAACAGAAACCGTGGATTTTTACTTAGCATAGGTTTAGAGTCCGAATGTACATTTCTTGCTTGGAATCTCCAAGCCACAAAATTAACATTAATGTTGATCCATATCTATTGATACCCTGATATGTCTGGCAAAAGTGAATCCCAATATCTTCTAGAAAGAAATTTCTATAACTTAGTCAATAAAAGATCCCCCCAAATAAAGCCCCACTGCAGATGAGCTACTCTTCTCCATCTCCCAATGAAGAAAACAGTTGATTATAGATTGAATTTCTGCAAAGAGAACAAACAAGAACTCTAATTTTATAGTTTCCACAGGGCATCATGAAGAGGGCAAGGTGCCACCTGCACACGTAGTGTGCTGTGTTACAGGAGAGGAATCCTGAGCATATGAAACCGAATTCTTTTATATTTGGTGTAAGCCTGCCTGACTTGTCCTAGTGAGAGATATTATCTTCTGTAACCTATTAAAAAGCATTTGGTATTCATTTTCTTTCTCTCTCTCTCTCTCTCTCTCTCTCTCTCTCTCTCTCTCTCTCTCTCAGACACACACACAAATTTGCTGTAGAAATCTGTAGCAAATTTTTTAAATTACTGATATCAAATTGTGTGATCAGATTGTATTACGTGTCATACATACCTACATATTAAAAGGATTTCATAATTAAACATGAAATGTTGAAAAACTACTCATATTTTGATCCGTTATGCTACTGTTATAAAAAAATGTGGTAAATAGTGGTAGAATCTACTTTCTTTTCATTCCTAATGACTACATACAAACTGTTTTTATTCTCCTCCTTTCCTAGTATAAGCCATTTCTGAGCAGGAACTGCTTAGAAATCTGTTGTGCTTCTGTAAAAAATTCAAGAGTGAGCAGGAGGGATAATTTTTAGCAGCAGTCTTACTTGATTTCCAAATAGAGTAAGACAGTTCATTTTGCACTTCAGTTTCAAAAATCAAGTTTTTCATAAAGGTGGAACCACCTATGGAATTAAGTGGAGCAGTAGCAGTGGGGTAGGGTGAGGTGGCAGAAAGAACATGGACTAGGCAAGGGCTCTTGGCTCTGCTTCTCAAACTACTAATAGTTAACTTTGTGAGTTTGGGAAAAACAGACCCATTCTTACTGCTCTTATCTGTCCACCAAGGCTTTAAAAAACCCTTCCAGATTTGCAATTGTCTAATCCAAATATGAGCTCCATTAGAGCTGAAAGCGTTCTGTAAATTGGTTTCAGGGCCTGGGAGAGTCAGTTAAGCTGTTTGTGAGTAGTGCAGACTTGGACTTGTCTTTGAAGGAGATAATTACAAAACCTTGGTTTTGTAATATTTTATCATTTACATGATTTATAAATTTGAATAAAGTTATAATAATTTTCTTTTTGTTGGTTACCACCTTGAACAGACTGCATTTGGGCATTAATTAGATCCATTAGGGAACTTTACAATACTGATAGGCACTCTGATTATATTTTAAGCCCATCTAGAGCTCTCACTTCTGAATCTCTGATCTGTTTCCTACCAGACTCATGGATTTTTTAAAATCCCATTTATGCTCTGCCCTAGGATGAAAATATATCTAAAAAATGAATTCATAGGGTGATGAAATAAGTCTATGCATCAAAATATCCAGACCTATATTCCAAACCCATGTCTGCTAGTTTCTAGCTATATAAACTCAAGTTACGTAGCTTGTTCTTGCCTTAGTTCCCTATATGTATATTTGCTTCACGATGAGTATTTTGTTAACTTTGATTTTGTCTATGACCGTGGTTGAATCAGATTTATCCCCATTGATATTTTACTTTCATCTTTGAAATCATTTTATGTATAAACAAAGACACTAATTCAAGAGCACAGCATATGAGAGAAATTCTGTTTTCCAGAGTAATGTATGTGCAAAAGTGTTGAGGAAAGAAAGGAGAAAAGAAAACTATTTTGTTTCATGAACTTCTGTGCTTCTTGGATTGATGGCAACTTTCAGATAATTACTGTAATTGCGGTTACTACATTTCTCAGAACTTACTACATATACATGTTGTGTTGTTATTTATGTCTCCACCACTAGGACTTAAACTTGATGAGGGCAGAATCTGTGCCAAGAACATGTAGGTGCTCAATGAATGAATTGTGCTGTTTGGTGTTGATGAGATGAAACAAACTTAATTTTGTTGAATATTTTGTTTTCTAGTTGTTACAAGAAATAGCCCTCAGAAGTAAGCCTGTAACTGAAAAATATCAAGGACTTGAAAGATTCTTTGTTTTTGATAAGAATGAAATACTCAACTTACTTCCTTCTCCTAGTGTAGAATGCAGCTATTCCAGTACTAAGATTACAGCTGCAGGTAAATTCAGATATGAAATCAGATGGCCTGTGGACCAACCTAACAATTTTCTGACACATTTTTTAAAACAGTTCATCCTCATCTTGTAAAATACTGGGCAATTCTGTTCAATGAATAGAATAATTTTATTCTTCTCCAGTTGAAATTATTAACCTTGTGTGAGTTGCCACATATTTATATTGAAGGCTACTATCAGAATGAGAGAGAACATGACTAATGAGACTGGGGAGAGATTATGTTTAGCATTTAGAAATGTAGCCCTTACTAAACTGTTCTTTGAATTACTATATTAACTGTTAAGTGTTGTATGATGATTCTTAAATGCCATATTAAAAACAAATCTCAAAATCTCAGGATCTGTGAGAATTCTGAGATATATCTGTAATTTCCTTTTGATACTATGTTTTGGCGTCACCTATATTCTTAGATTTCCTATGTATTCAAATGTGTTTATTCATATACAAACTATTATACTCTATGTCATACTGTTATATACAGTTAAAAATACTTATTTCTCTTCAAACCTCTGTGTGTAATATCTTTGTAATTTAGAGTTTATTTTTTTTATCAAGCTGCGTGAACCTAATGGTTTTTATTGTATAACTATGAGATTTTCTTTTGTAATATATACCACGCTGTTATAAATGTTCCCTATGTAGCTAAATATTATCTAGTAAGACAATAAATCTAATAAAGCAACAACATGAATTTCTCTCCTTTTAAAAATTTCTATTATTTTACCATTTTTCTCTCAGGAGACAGAGACTGGATCCCAGACCACAGCATAAGTACATATGCTGACAATGCAGTTGCCTCGGGTGTTCTGCAGAATGCCCAGAACCCTCCATCAAGTAGAACCCAGCAAAAGAATGGTAAGATGGACTGTCAGACCGCAGTGCCCTGTTGGTGGCCCACTTTGTCTATTAGTTTGTCTTTTTAGCATTTTACTAGACACCTGAAAATTAATTTTTGCAGTTTTATAATTTAAACTTAATCATTTTCATTAAACTGCCCTGGATTTTTCTTCCAAAACCACACCACATCACACCACACCACTACCACAACAACAACAAAAAACTAGAATAGTCATCATTTCTCTAAAAAAACCTGAATTATCGTCTTATTTTCTGGAGCAATGTATTAGAGAATAATATTTTAAAAATGTAACTCAAGATATAGTATGTATTTTGAACAATCCTTGTAAATACATACTCGATTTCATTACACTCTCAGGAAACTGTTTTTATGCTAGGTTTTGTGTACTTCTCACTGGATGTGATGATCAGACATAGCCGTTTATGACATGAATGGCTTAGGTTAAGATCGCTATTTGTAGCGGTGGGTGAGACACCTCCGTTCTAAATCTAATGCTGAATGTGTTAACCCTGGGATATTGATTTAATTCATTAACTCCATTCTCTAACCAAAATGTTTGCAAGATTTTCTATAGGATAACTATTTTGACATGTTGCATGTTCATTGTAATATTTTCCTAGTGAGTATATGCAGAGAATTTTGACATCATTATAATCAGTATTATTATTAGGTCATTATTGTTATCCAATAATACTTGCTAAAGTAGGTTTGCTTTGGTTGAATTTCATATGAAGTTGCAATAGATGACTAATAAATTAAGTTAATTCAACACAGATATGTTGAATATCTTGGCATTGTGCTGGGCTCTGGGGGAAAAGGGATACATAAGTCATGTTTCCTATCTTCTGGAGCTCACAATGTAGGAGGGACATTTGACAAAGGGGGCTCTTTGCCTTTGTTTGAAGGCCATCTTCAAGCCAGAAATTTAATTACATATGATTTGTCCAGATATTTAAGATTTATATGTCTCCCTTGCCCTAAATCGTATGATTAAAGCTCCTTGGCTAGACTAGATGCTTTCCATATACATTTATGTTGCAAAACTGTCAGATACAAAAGATTTTTTTTAGTGGAAAAACTGTCCATCTATGATAAATGTTTTTTGGCTCTGTAGTTAGGTACCTATTCTCATATCAAGATCTAGAGCAGCTTCAAAATTTCTGGTTGCTTCCTTCTGAGGCAGTCAAAGGAATTGTTTTAAGTCACTGTATATTGATGAAAACAAATTCACATATATACATACTAAGACAAATCTTTATAAATAAGTAGCCAAATGCCTTTAAGTATTAATTTAAAATGGTCGATTGAAATTAATAAATTGCTATAAAAGACATTTGTGACCTTTAGTCCAGGTACTCGCAGACACTGATGATACAAAATGAGCCCTCATTCCTTAGTGTGAGAGCTTGGAGTCCAGTGCACAAGTTTTCAAATATCCCTGTGAGTGTAATCAGCTGGGAAACCTGTTGTAATGTGGCTTTCTTGACCTCACTCTTAGAGATTCTGATTCATTAAGGCTGAGATAAGGTCCATGAATTTGTGTTTATTTTATCAACAACTCCTTGTTATGTTCATGAAGTAATCCAAAAATCATACATTGAGAAAACTGCTATATAGATGTATAAACACATAAATTATACTATATACAAGTTTGGTGAAAGGACTCTAACATACTTTTGGAGATTGACATATAATTAATAATAGTACATGTGATCAGTTACAATACAAGTAGGTACATATGCAGTCTTTTAGAAATGGAGATGATGAAATAGTTGCTTTGCCACTGAAAAGTATAGATATGCTAGATGTTAGAGAGTAGGTGACATTTCAGTTGAATCTTGAAGAATTCATAAGATTTACCAGTTAAGAGCTTTATGGACAGAAATGGCTTTATCTCAGTGGCCTGAAATAAAATAAAAATTTCCTGGATATGCCGTAATTTGTGGAAATCTTTTACCGATGTCTGTATATAAAGAAATTCCTATTTCTGTAAGAGTTTTTTTAAAATTTGTGAATGTAAAAACATAATAGGTATGAAGATACATGTGTGTTTAGCAGCAAGGCCATTGATTCTACCCACCCCCTGCTGAAATATCTCTGTAAATGGCAGCGTCATTCAAACATTGATAAGTCTGAAACCTGGGAGTCATATAGTCATTTTGACTGTCTCACCCACCACATCCTCTTCATCGCTGGGTCCTGCTGATTTCGCCTCTAAAATCTATCCCAAATCTTTATTGTTCAAGATGAACCCAAGCCAGCTGTCCATTATCTTTCACTTGTCTCCCCAAGATTCATTTCTGCCTCTCTACAAAACATGTTGCTATGATTAATTTCCATCACATTTTACTATTTATAGTCAGTGAGTGAACTGTTTATATTCATAGTCATAAAATTGTTTATAATTTATAGAAAGTGAGTCATATTTTCCATAAACTTAAACCATAAATTTTACTATGTCAATCTGCTTAAAAGCATCTCACAGTTTCTTGTATGCATCACACAACAGTACCTGTGTTGGCCCCGCAGCTTCTCCCACATTGCAGCCCCACTGGCTTTCTTTATGTTCTTAGACATATCATACCCCTACCTTACTCTTAGCTTTAAAGTTAGCTCTTTTCTCTGACCCAGGATGCTCTGAAGCCTTTACTTTCATCTCCACATCCTTTTTTATATGATTGATTATTTTCCATTGTTCAGCCTCAGCCCACATGCTATCTCCTTAGAGAGGCCGTCTCAGAGCACTCTATTTAATGCTGGTCTCTTGAGTCCCTTAATCACATTTACCTTCTTTTATGTTTCATATAGAATATGTCATGAAATGAAATTATTTTTATTTACTTGTTTATTTTCTGCTTACCCCACCGTTAGTTGGAAAGAAAGCAATGGCCTCGCCAGTCTTGTTCATTGGTGCATACTTTGTGATGGAACAGGGCCTGGTACACTGTAAGCACTTAGGAAGTGTTTCTGAATGAGGAAAGCAGGAAAACAAGACTCTGTATTAGTTTGGAGTACTATTTGAGGGTAGAGGTAATGTCTCATTCACTTTTTTTAAATTAAATTTATTGGGGCAACATTAGATAATAAAATTATATAGGTTTCAAGTATACATTTCAGTAATACATCATCTGTATATTGCATTGTGCGATCACCACTCAAAGTCAAATCTCCTTCTGTCACCATATATTTGATCCTCTTTACTCTTATCTACCTTTTCCCTTCCCTTTTTTCCTCTGATAACCACCAACTGTTGTCTGTGTCTATGAGTTTTTTGTCTTGTTTGTTGCTTTCAGTTTTATATCTCACATATGAGTGAAATCATGTGGTTCTCAACTTTTTTGTCTGACTTATTTCACTTAGCATTATCTCAAGATCCATCCATGTTGTCACAATGTCAGTATTTCATCTTTACCTATGGCTGAGTAATATTCCATTGTATATATGTACCACATCGTCTTTATCCAATCATCTACTGAAGGACACTTCAGTTGTTTTTATGTCTTGGCTGCTGTGAATAGTGCTGCAGTGAAAATCAGGGTGCATATATCTTTACAGATGAATGTTTTCAAATTTTTTGGGGAGACACCCAGAAGAGACATTGATGGGTCATATGGTAATTCTATTCTTAATTTTTTGAGGAAACTCCCTACTGTTTTTCACAGTGGCTGTACCAATTTACATTCCCACCAGCAGTGTATGGGGATTCCTCTCCTTGCCCCAGCCCTGCAACCTCTCCAACACTTTTTGTCACCTGTCTTGTTGATGATAGCCATTCTTACAGGTGTGAGGGGGTATCTCATTATGGCTTTGATTTTCATTTCTCTAATAGCTAGTGAAATTGAACATCTTTTCATGTCTGTTGGCCATATGTATGTCTTCTTGGGAGAAATGTCTGTTCAGGTCCTCTGCCCATTTTTTTTTATTGGATTGTTTATTATTTTGTTGTTGAGTTGTATGAGCTATTTATATGTTTTGGATTTTAGGCCCTTATCAGAGGTGTTGTTTGCAAATATCTTCTCCCGTTTAGTTGGTTACCTCTTTGTTTTGTTGATGGTTTCTTTTGATTCACTTTCAAATACCTGGATCTTGACAGTGCCTGGCAGTTTCAGGATTTGATAAATATTTTATAATCGAATTGGATTGGGTGCTAATTTATAGATTCACAGAGGTGGAGGGGATTTAAGACATCATTCTGTCCAACTCCTTAATTTTACTTGTGAAATATGAATTTTCCTGTCTCAGGTCACAAGCTGATTTCTAATTCAGTGAGATTAGACAATAAAGTTCTCGCTTCCCAGTTTAGCATTTCTTTTTTACTAAACCATGCTGCTGAATAAGATTTACATATATGTTTCAAGAATTTAGAGAATACATTTCTATTTTTTATGTATAAATTCTCAGTAATTTACACAGTGGAGCAAGAATATCGATAGACAATAATGTTTTGCCATTTTTTTCAAGAATAAAATATTGGGTCCTTTGATCAGAATGGTATTTGTTATTGAAATACTATGCAAAATGCATGTTGCTCTGATTATGCATCATTAATTCTAATTAAAATTAGAACAGCAACAACAATTGTTGTATTAAGTACTATTCAGTGAGTGATTCATTTTTCATATTTTATCAGCATTCTTGTGCCCATTAATATAACCCAAAGACACCCTTCTATTTCATATTTCCAATATATGGCATGGTTTCATTAGTAATCACAGAGCACATTTTCTTTAGCTAATATCAAGGACAATTTCTTTTGTAATATATTTAGAGTATTACTGTGATCAGTGTTAACCTATAATTTCCTAAGATTACATTGCCAGTGATGGCAAAAATTACTCCTAAAGTAATTTCTTGTGTTTATAATCTATAAACTGGACTTTGAAAAAAATTATAGAATGATCCCTTCAATAGTGGCATTTCTCATTAGTGCCAGTCTTAACTGCAGTTTAGATCTTAACCCTAGCAATAGCATTAATAAGTTTATACAATGAACATTAGAGAGAATGAATAATCACCTACATGAGTAAAATAAATAAATTAATTCAAGGACCAAATTGGAGTATCTTCTGTCTCTTTTATGTTTTGGTTACTCTAAATTACATTTTGAACGAATTTCCATTAAGAAAGATGGTCTGTCTCTTTGCCATGTGCTAAGCATAAGTCTGATCCATCCCTTATGTACTTTTTTCCCCTCAATTGGGATCAATTAACTTCAAATACTGTGGCCACCAGATGTTATAAGAGTTCAGCAAGTATATGTACTCTTCTGAATTTTCTGATGGACATCCACATTATGTTAAAATTTTCTTACCTCTTATTTTTGTGTTGACAGAAGTCCAGTTCTTGCTAATATCTTTTGTTTGTTTTATTTTAGTAAGTGTTCTAAATGTTTTTAAATTTTACTTGTCTGAGTCATAGCACAATACAGATAGAAGAGTGGCTTTCTCTATAGCTATAGAACTTTTGATTCATATAGTTGAATTACTATTACACTCATTTTCTTATTCTTCTATATTGCTGTTCCTTTTACTGCTTCATTATGCAGGAATTGCAAGTTTGCTTTGCTTGATAGTTATGAATAAATCATTGATTCTTTACATGCTACAGGTAAAAGGGGAAATCATTTCCAAATACTTGCCATTAAAATAATTCTTAAAGATATTTACATTCGTTTTTCTTAAAACATAAGCACATTTTTTTTGTCAGTTATTTTTCTTCAGAATTGTCTCTGAGCACAAACAGATACAAAAGGTCAGGATCTTATTTTAATTTATTCATAATTTCATTCCAACAAAAATTGTTTTCAAAATTGATTTCTGAAATGTTCATTAAAATTAGTGCCCTTTGGGACTTACCTTAGTCAGTTTTAATTGCTTAAATAATTACGTACTGCATTAAGATTCTTCTTAGGTTACAAGCTACATTCAAAGTAGATCTTTAAAGTTAAAAAAAAAAAAGACTAACTCAATAGTCATTAAATGTTTAATACATGACAACTGCCTGTAGCTACTCTTCTGAATTTTACATTTTCCTTTGAGTCAATAGATTTGGCATAATGCTATATGGCATTTGTTCAGTCAAATTGTAATTTTTATGATAATGACAATAGCATTTCTCTAAAGAATTCCATATTTTACACAAAGCCAATTTGTGTTAAGGGAATTCAAGCTTATAATATAAATCATTTATATTTAATATAAATATTTATCTAAATTAGAACAATGAATCAGTACATTTAAAGTGTTACCTGTGCTATGCATTTCTAAATTTGTACCTTGAAAATTCTCTTTATTAAAAAATCTTGGAACAATGCCAAATTTTAAATTCTGTTGCATTAGAATAAGATTTGAAGGGATTTTTTTCCTACTACAAAAGAAATGCACAAGTTGCAGAACTCTGTTAAATCAACCTTTCAAACATATCAAGATCAAGTGGTGACTGCCCTAATAGGACAAAATAATAACCTAACTGAGATCTGTGCTTCTGGAACTTTTCCACAGAGATGCCTTATAAAGAAGTAGAGAGTGAACTCATATTTAGGAAAATGAGAAATGTAATCTCAATTTCTTTAAAATCTATGGTTTTTTTAAAAAAATATATGTTCTAGACTATTTTGTCTCCATATTTGTTTTAATATAAGAATAAATTACACTCCATCAAGTAAAATTGGTTCACTAGGAAGTGGTACCATTTTTATCCTGTGGATTTTTTCTCTTACAAGGCACAGTGAGGTATTATGCTAGAATTTAAGAAACACGGTACTGCAGTTGGGATAGCTTATAAGATTGGGTGTTGACTTAGTTTACAGATGTTTTACTTTAGTTAGTATTAAAATTAGTTTATCTTTTTCCAAATGCAGAAAAAATTGGAGGAAAATAACCCAGAAATGTTCTTTATGACATAGGAAAAGTAATTTGGGATTAGCAAATTGTGGTAAATCAGATGGATGATAATCAAAGTTCATTTTTTTATAAACTCTGTTGCACGTACTTAACTGCTCTAAATTTGGGGGACTGGTAGTTTGTATTTTTAAGCACTCATTTAGAATTTTAAAACAATTGATTTGAAAAGTTTTATTTTTCATTTTAGGCCAGACATCACAGAGACCTTCAACAGCATATTTACCACTTTCCATCTCTGTTAAAAGAAGCACCAGCTGCCATTCCTTCTCTCACCCTCCATCAAGAAGTACAAGTGCCCGATCATTATCTAGAGCTGCTTCTGAAATTTCAGAAATTGAATATATTGATATTACTGACCACAACGAGCCTTCCTTAGACAACATTGTGGATCAACAAACCTTAGAAAATTTGGAAAAAGAATTAAGTGTGCTGAGAAATTCTGCAGGTAATGCTATGTTTTCACTGTAGACAATGTTAAGTCTGCCTTCTGCCTGATTCTTCATATTGTGTTCCAAGAAAACAACTAGCAAACAAAAAAGCCTTTCCCTTTCTCTCTTCGAAGCATCAATTTTTGTGTCTGCTTTCTTGGATATCCCCCAAGGTCACCCTGAAAATGTTATGTGTGGATGCCAGTCACACCAGAGATAGTCTCCCTTAGGCTACATAATGCACAGTTAAATTATATTGCATAAGAACCTTCATGTGGACCAAAAAATTTTTTTTTCTTCTTTCTACAAAACCACTGAGTGGTTAATGTCTGTAGCTTTATGAAAGCTGCTGTCCAACACCTGGTTGGAGAATTTAGCTGTTAGATCTTTTAAAGCAGTGTTTCTCAGGCTTCAATGTGTACACAGACCCTCTAGGGATCTTGTTAAAATGCAGATTCTGACTCAGGATATCTATGGTGGGGCCCAAGATTCTGCATATCTAACAAGTACCCAGTTGACACCAATACTGCTGGTTGGCAAGCCGGTTTGAGGAGAGATTATACTTGTGCATTCTATTTCCTGAACCCCAATGGATGTAGTCCGATAAATCATAACCATATTCTTGAATTTATAAAGATCTGGTTCAGTAGCAAAACATTAGGAGAAATAATCTTAATTTTCACCAGAAAGTTGTTTATGCAGTTTTATGGGAATCAGCTACAAATCTAAGAGGCAGGCCAGAAACTTTTCAGGGACCTGTAGATTCTACATATGGCTCCTTCTTTAGTTTTGTTTGTTGTTACTGTTTTAGTGATATTCACCTTGGAATAATGACTTTGCTGTTTTCCTAAAAAGAATACACCTTGATTTCGAAAGAGTTAATCAATAC